AAAAAACCGTGAATAAAAAAGGTAAATGTTAAAAGTCAAATCAATCACTTAATCAATCATAATCGAAAATATCAATTGAATAAATATCGATTCAAGTCAGAAAAAATCCATATTTTGACATTTATCAACAACAACAACAACAACAAGAAAGAAGAAAATCCATTCCTGTAAAGTTCCTGGATCGATAATCATAATCGATAATTCACCTTTCTCTCTCTCTCTCTCTCTCTCTCTCTCTCTCTCTCTCTCTTTCTCTCTCTGGCTGGCTGGATGGTTGACTGGCATATCACGCAATGAATGAAAAAAGAAAAAAATCGCTTTCCTTTCCATTCATTCTTAATGGGAAGAAAATCCATATTTAGTTTGTTTTTTTTCTTTTCATTCTTTCAGGGATAATCATCATCATCATAATAATGACGCCATTCATATTCATCCAATTTTTTTTTGTAAAACCGTTACCTATATGTAATTGTGACGTAAACACATGTACACTTTGTATGTTTACATTATTGGAAAATGATTTCATTTGAATTGAATGAAAACAACATTCTTACACAGACATTGGCCAAGGTAAATGCTGATGATGATAATGATGACGACATAATCATCAACCTGGTTAAACAATATTCAAAACAGCAAACATAATAATAATGCGCAATAAACAAATTCGGCTATAGCCAGCCAACCAAACGAAAAAAAAACCAGATAAACAAACAAACAAATAATCATCATCATCAAGGATACCAGAAAACAACAAACAACAACATTTTCTGTTTGGAAAAAATATTCATTGATTTCAAAATTATTATTTACATTCTTTTGCATCTCTCTCTCTCTCTCTCTCTCTCTCTCTCTCTCTCTCTCTCTTGATTTTCATATTTTTTTTCCGCTGAAATTTGCCTGTTTTACCGACCGAAAAAAAGCAGTGGTGGTAGATTTTGCTATAGCAAAAAAATTTTTGAATTTTTTTTTTGTTTCACTTTTTCTCTCTGTGTAACGGTTTTTTTCAAAAAATTTAAACTAAAAAAAAAATTTTTGTCAACAAAATTTACATCTGTATTAACACTCGGTGCGTACAAGAGATGTTAATCAATGAATTGAATGAATGAAACGCACACACCAGAATCACCAGATCAGTGATTTTTTTTTCTACAATCAAATATTTTCCCTGTCATCACTTTACTTTACTTCAGAAATTCATAATTTTGAAAAACTTTCGAGAAACTTCGAAACACCGATTGAGATTTTGACGCAAAAATGTCTTCAAAACATTCTTCGACGGATAAACATCCTCAACAGCAACAACAAACGCAGCAATCGCAACCACAAACGCAATCGCAACAACAAAAACATATTGAAAAAATTGAAAATTATTATCGTACAAGTGAAAATGTTTATCGATTATCAACCGATCATCATCAAAATCATCCAATGATTACCGAATGGATCACTAATTATCCGAAACAATTAAATTTTCGTCAAAATCATCCTCAACAAAATAATTCTTTACGACATTATAATTATCTGAATATGAATAATGATTTATATGAATTATATGTTGATGTTAATGGTGGTTATAAACCGGAAAATATTACCGTTACAACTAAAAATGATTTATTAATTATTAATGGTTTTATGGAACAAAATAATGGTGGTGATAATTACGGCAGTGTTAACGGTGACAGTGTTAATGGCGGTGGTTATCATTCAAAAGAATTTTGTTATAAATATCAGCTACCAAAATATGTTTGTAAAGATAAAATGACATGTATGTTTAAGCTAGGTGGTAATTTATTACATATTGAAGCACCAATTGAACAACCAAATACCCGTCATATACCGATTAAAATTTTAAATGAACCATCAACAGCGACGACCAATAATAATAATATTGATGATAATCCGCATCAATCAACAACCAAAACAACATCGAATGGTTTGGCTACTAATGCCAGCAATATTTAAATTTCGGGAAATTTTCCAGAATTTGACATTTAAAAAATGACATCTTCTAAATCCCTTTCTCTCTCTCACTTTCTTTCATACACACACACATCGTAAACTAAAAATAGAATTGAAAAACTCTTGAAAATAAAATAAGATTTCGTTTTTCTTTTGCGTTTAAAATGTACATTTGTGTATTTGGGTGAATGAATGAATGAATGAATAAATGGGATAAAACGAAATGATGATGACAATTGAAAAAAATCTTGATGAAAAATTTTCCATCAAATTTTTCAATGAAAAATTCAATTTTTGAAAATCTTTCCGGAAGAATTTCGAAGAAAATTCTCAAAACCCACAGAATCCGATCATGATCAGGCGTCAGAATTCGACAGAAGAGAAATAGCATTCTCCTGGGATATCCAGAAACATCTTTATTAGGCAATAATTTAAATAATTGATGCGTTTTTCTCCCATTATTATGATTATTATCATTATTGTTGTTGTTTTTTTTTGTGAATGTCTTTATCCATCAACAACAACAACAACAACCGAAAACACAAAAACAGAAAAAAAATAATCATTTTCTGATGATGATGATTATACGATGTGAAATGTAGCAATAATAATATTCTACAAATCAAAAAAAAAAGAAATTTCTTAATCAAGAAGAAAAAGAAAATGAAAAAAATCCAATTCTAATCTAATCTAATTGTATTCATTCTCAGCATCGGCATCGGCACAGCAGATGGATACATTTCAATATTGGATACACAATCTTTCTCTCTCTCTCTCTCTCTCTCTCTTGGAGTATCCATTTCATTCATTTTTTCAATTGGAGATTTGTTTTTTCAACCAAATCAATCCAATAAATCAATCGATCAAAATCAATCGGATTGATTTAATTTATTGTATTTTTCCTCGAATAACATTTTCTTTTCTTTTTTTTGGCTTTTTGGTTTTCACTTTACTTACTTGATTGATTTGTTGCTAAACGATATATTTCATTTGTAACACCCGTATCAAATGATTTTGAATTTGAAATTGATTGTACAGTGGTATTGGATGCGGCGGCAGCTTGATGATATGATGGTGGTGGTTGATTACAAAGTAAAAAACTTGGTGGAACGTGAACGATATTTCTTGGTTGTTGCGATTGCGGTTGCGGCTGCGATTGTTGTAGCGGATGATTAAAATTATGATGATGTTGTTGTAATTGTGGTGACATTATCATTAAATTTGCTGTTGATAATTGATTATCAATGGCCATCATTTGATGATTGGACATCGATGATGGTTGCTGTTGTTGATGTCTTTGATTATCATCAATATTACCATCATCATCACCATCTTGTGATTGTATTGTTGATTGATGTTTAAGATTTGCGGATTTGGATTTGGATTTCGTTGTTTTTTTCGATGATGTTGATATGTTTGATGATGCGGCGGCGGTGGTGGGGGTGGTGGGGTGAAGATTTTCCAATTTACCACCACCACTATCCGCTTTGGATTTTTGTACACCGGTGGCGGTAATTTTAGTGGAACCTTTTTTTGATTGCGGTTGCGATTGCTGCGATTGCGATTGTTGTTGTTGCTGTTGTTGAAGTGAATGACTACGATGAAGATGAGCAAATCTTTTTATACTGAATGGCATTATTATTATTATGGGAGAAATTCAGATTTTTTTTGAAAATTATTTTTTCAAAGAAACTTTCCGGGAAACTTTCCAGGAAAATTTTTTTTCATAAAATTTCCGTCGTCGTCAACAACAACAACGAGAAAAGCAGAAACATAATCTGAAAAAGAAAGAATTATTATTTTAGTTTTAGTTTCGCTTTTCATAATCCAATTAAATCATCATCATGAACAACAACATCATTATGGTGAACATAATCATTATCAAATAACATCATCATCATCATCATTGAATTTTTTTGATGGCGGTCATGTTACACAAACAAAAGCCAAACTAAACTATCATCATCATCATCATCATCATTTGATGATGACAAACAAAGAATTTTTTTTCGCATTCTCTCTCTCTCTCTCTCTCTCTCTCTCTCTCTCTCTCTCTCTCTCT